TGACCATTTCTGTGGGTCAGAGTCTCAAGGGAGGTATCAGCTCTCTGCAGCTCCCTTTGCCTCACCTCTGTGGCACTGCTCAGGGGTATTATTCCTAACCAGTGAGCTCTGTGCTTGTCTCCTGTTTCTTCTGAAACAAGGAAAACCTGTAGCCCAGCACAGCCCCTTTACACAGCAGTAGCTCTCCTTTTCTGACAGTTCTGTAATCTGATGTTCTGTTCTGAACAAAACCTGCTTTGGAAAATTTCATACATGGCGAACACTGGAAGAAATTACAGTCTGCAGAAATCCAAGGATCTCAAAGTGTTAAAAAATAATTCTTAAATCTTGCATGTACAATTTAAATTGTGTTAATAATCATTCAGACTTGCATCTCATTGAGAAGCATTTTTGTGCTTCCCAATGCTCTTACTGGATCCTTTTAATGATATACAAAAAAGATTACTTTACATTATTAGGCTTCCAAACAACACCTAATATATATGTGTAGGCATGTGTGTTCACCATTTGAAAATTCTTATTATTTTACATAATATTAATGCACCAGGCCCACCCTCCTTTTTTCTCTGCAGAAAGTGAAGTGTCTGTTTTCATAACAAAAAGCCCTGTGAGTATTTACTGTGTTAGCCTGGTCAGGGTAGCTCATACAGACCATTGACTGTAATCCTCTGTCTAACAATCTCAAATGGGAATATGTATAAAAAGGCATGATGGTACAAATATTTTTGCAGTTTAACTCCAACATGCAAACTCTCACTATCATGGGCTGAGGTGTGAGCCTCTACTTTGTCATCCTTGTAGGTGGAACACAAACAGAAATTTAAGTGAGACATACAGGAAGGATGAGTACTTGTGACTAACACTTGCCATTCATCATGCTATAAGGATCTTATATTTCACTTTTTGTGTCATTGTTGAAGCAAACCAATCACTAGCACTTGGGTCCATGTTTAAGATTTTGGCAGCCCTTTTTGTTCTCTGTGATGACAAAACCAGCTCACTGCCCTGTTTTACAGTAATGCTGTTCAAAGAATCATGATGATAGACTGGGAACAGTGCAGATTCCTCCTGTGGCCCTATTGAAGAATTGTTGTGTAACGCTCCCATCAGCTGTATTGCAGGTGCTGGGAAAAACACATCACAATGTGTGTGAGGCACATGAGGAATGTGCACTGCAGAAAAACCTGACTCCCTTTTATTGAACTGGAGGGTGTTTGTGAGTGTGGGCAGTGCAGGAAAGCTGAGTCAGCCAGATCTGGATTTGCAGCATTATTGAGGACATAGTAACTTCATTTGGAGTTGTGGGCGTTTAATAACCTTGAACATAGAACTGTGTGAAATGCTGTTTGAGGTGTGAGGCATTTATGTCTGCTGAAAGAAAACCTGTAGAAATTACACTTTGTATCTAAGGATAAGGAGGTAAAATTGCCTTCTGTTTTTTCTTTGAGAGTCTGTTTTTCATCAGTGTGTCACAATGCTCACTCTGACACAAATGAGCAGTATTAGTTTGCCTGTGAGAGGCACAGGAGGGTGTTTAAGTGATATTGGATATAATGCTGCAGATCACTGGGTGTTAAGAGGGGTTGGATACTGACTCAAGTAATTGAAGCCTAAGGAGAGGCCCACCTTCCACTTCTATTTTGGTTGTGTTCAAAATATCCCCAGCAAAGAGTTCCAGCGGCTTATGTGACATAACCTGAGGTGTCATTTAATTACTTTTAACAGTGGGCACACAGTTGTTGTAGTCACTCTCATCTTTAGTGACAGGACAGGTATTAATCACTGCTGTTCATATTGGCTGGACTGGCTTAAGCTGACTCTCCAATTTTTGCTCTTATGCAGTTTGCTTTAGAGAATAGGTGGAATACTACGTGTATAGGAGTGTCTTGCATCCCCTGTATACCCCACTGGCCTGTAGTTTGGTTAGGGTAATGTAAATCCTGTTTCTAGCCATCTGTGACTCTCCAGAGTGCAAGACCCTTATGGGATTTTGTATACTTCAGCCTAAACTACTCAAGATAACACTTTGTTGTGGCAGGGGATGGTAAGAGATACCCACTGGCAAGACCTGGACAACCAGCAGTGCCATGGGGCACTGGGCCAGCATGTTGTGGTGAAGGCTGACTGTGCTAAGGATAAACTGTGTAATTAACTGGAAATATGTGTTGGGCTTCTTGATGCACTGCAGTTTGCTTTCAGACATTTTCCTGAAGCACAGTACACTTCTTTAGGCCATCAGCCTAAACACTTGTTAGTGGTCATCACCCCTTCTTAACATGGATAAACCAGTGGTGAGAACTAGTCATAGCCAGAAGAGTGACCAGTTATCAGGTACTGCTAGGTCTTGGTGAACAGTCCCTCAAAACTCTCTTTTTTCTTTCTATGACTTTTTTTGTTTCAGTTTTTTTTTTTTAAGTATCCATAATCCAATAAATGAGCCATGAGAAACCTCAGTTCCTCCCCTCACAGGCAGGAAGTCAGCAGCCAAGGCAATAAACTAGAGTTTGAATAGTTTGTTCCAATGCTTTGTTTACTTCTCTTCACTCAGTCAGGAGCTTTTGTAACTTGTATAAAGGAACCCTCAGGCTGGAACAGCTATGGACCTGACTGGCTGAGAAGCATTTGTTGAAGATATTTAGGGGGGAGATAAATGACAAGAGAAATCACTCAAGTTTTGTGTACATCTTTAGGTTTAGAGGTGCAGAGTGAAACCAGGTGGAATTTCTGACCCAATGTGCACAGGAAACCATCTGAAGTGAGGTCTCTCTCTTGGGTGGGACAGGCTGTTCTCATCTCGCTGTAATGCACTCTGCTGCCTCTGCTTATTCCCAGGCTTATAGCACTATGCTGGGCCATATGAACATACCCTGTGTTCTTCACAATTCATCTGTAAGTTTTGCACCATCTGAAAGGTTTCAGTGACTTTGTTACCTTGCATTTATTCAGTGGGGTCCAGAGGACAGCTTTGGTTGCTGCTTGGGACAGAGGCCCCATTTGTCTCAAGGCTTTAATACCATTTACCCATGTTATACTCTCTAAGTCAGCTTTCCCCATCACTACTTCTCAGTAATCAATATGAATAAGAGTGCACAAACCTAAGCAGAGGCACATTTAGATTTGTGGCTGTCCAACAGAATGAAGAAACAGCTCTGCTGCTTTCTACTCCCACATTAGAAAGTTTGTAGTAAGAGCAAGTCAAAAGTCAATCTCCAAATGGACTAAGAGCCAAAATCTGAGATGAGTTCCTGATGTATGTTTCCTTTAAGTCAAAGGGACTCGGTCCCCAACGAAATGTCTTTAGCTGTTATTTATTAGATTATTACAGTCTTTTTATGTAAGCCATAATGTGTTTCAGTAGGCAGATATGAAGAACACTCCTCAAACCATGAACTTCAGAAAATGCACATCTCAAACTAATTTTACTGTATACCCCATCATTCTTCTGCTGCTGGGAGCAGCAAACAATCAGTCTGTCTCTCATGCCCTGTGTCCCTGGTTCAATAAGGCTGTCTCTGTTCTCCTCATCAGACATCTCTTCTGAGCCAACACTCCATTTTCTTGCTACTGTGTTCAAACTTCTCCCTGTGTTTGATCATCTCTAGTTTATCCTCTCTGAGTTGGAATGACCCTAACTATGCACCCTGTTCACTAAGTTTGAATAAATAGTTCTCAAATGGTGTCACTGTGTTCTATTTTGTTACCTACTTCTTTTTTTAGTTATTTTTTAGCATTCTGCTGGGATTTATCTTTGTGACCCCTCTGACAATGGAGCTGGTGATTGCAAGACCTACCCAGGCCTCTTTCCTGAGAAAGAGATAATTGCACATTTAGAACTTGTCACTGTAGATACATACTTAGAGATAATTTTGTGCCCAGACACATTATTTTGCACTTATCAGTGCAAACATTTTGTCATCTGCTCACTTTATGTGTACCTAAGATGTAAGTCTTGGCTGTCAGCATTATATGTTATTCTGCATAATTTTGTCATGGCATTATTCGTTGCTCTGTCAGGTAGTTTGTGACCAGACTGAACCTCATGAAGTCCCAAAGCACATCTCTGAATGGGATCCTGCTGGTTAACTGCTGACAAAATGACATTTATTCCCTATTTCTAGACATGTTCTTTCTACCCACTGATTGTTTAGCTTGCAGGATTGTACCATTTACCCTTTTGTATCTCATAAGCAACTGATTTCCTTTTTAGTATGTTGGAAGGCATCAAAAGGATGGATTAGATTTTTCTTTGGTTAGTTTCAAAAATCCTTTCACTGTCAGTGCTTGGAAGTGAACCATGTGGTCCCTGTAAGTATCAATTAGGTTTGCTTTTTTTTGTGCATAAAATCTCTCCTAATCTGTGTTGTGCACATTTTTTTTTTACAAATGGGCAATTCTGAGACACATCTTGGAATAACAGGCAATATCAACTGACAGTTTTTCATCCCATAAGCAATATGAGCAACACGGACAAATACAAGTGTTTAAAATGGACATTTTGAGAGTTTAAAATACATACAAATTATGATAATTATCAAAGTGACTTGTTAATTACTCAGACTCTTTAATCACCACTGATCCATGGATTGCTCTCTTATGTAGAACATAGGGAAATTTAATGGAAGATGTGAAGTTACTTTTTATTCTTATGACATTTTTGAACAGAATCTGACTCATACCTCCCTTTAATTTTTGCTCAATGTTCAACAAAAAGATGAATGTGTTTTATGAGGGACTATAAGCTTTTGATTGTCCTACTAAGCAGCAGCTGCACAATCCAATGCAGTTTAGTGTGTGACAAAGCTGAATGTCATGCAGTAACTCATTTGAATAGGAGCCAAGCCAATATTCCTTACTGGGGAAACATGCTCACTGAAGTGTTTTTATGGAACTAGGATGTCAGATTCATGATGGAAATTTGGAAATACTTGTTTTGAGTGCACTGAAAATGAGTTGTTCAGATGAACAAGTTATTTATACAGACATGTGGTCAATACTGGATACTGGTTTAATCTTCTGGTAATCCAGACATTACCATATGGACAACCTGCACAGATTGATCTGATGAGGCTTCACTGGGTAAATGAATATCCTGCTGCAGTTAATTTGCTGAGCTTTTATGTTAACTTTTATCAGGAGAAAAAAATGCTTTCCAGCACATAGTTTATTCATAGTGACTTATAAAATGAGACTGATGACAATTGACACAGGTTTAAGGCAGCTTGTTTGACAAGCAGCTCATGATGGTTTGGACAGTTATCTGGAGGGCTTTCTTTCCATACTTCATTGTTTGTAGCCAGTGCACAGCCTTTCCAATGTGGAACCACATTTGCACATACATATCAGAGAATGCACTCGGTTTTCTCTTGAATTTTGCTTTCAGTGATGTACCTGCAGTAATTTTGTTTAGTACCATAATGGGTTATTTAGTTTTGTTATCAACCTCTGCTTTCTCAATCTTCTGTCCTGTGAGGAACTGCCATATTCCTCCTCTGTAGTTCTCATTTCCCAGGGCATATATGAAGGCATCCACCGTTGGCACAGTCTTGGCAATAAGAGCAGGAATCTGTCATGAGACACGATATTTATTACCAGGAAAACACACTGAGAAGCCAATGGGCTGATGTCAGCCTAGGTTTAGTTTCCCTTTACAAAAAAAAAAAGCCTGTCTCCAATGACACTAGCTTGCTACTCAAAGACAGGGAGAAGTAAAAGCAATTTGGCTAGTGGGAAGTCCTATTCAGGAAATTATAGCTTCCAGGAGAAAGGGTTTAGGTTGGCATTGCCTGAAACAGGGACAATTCAGTTGAGAGTGAATACAAACGCTTAGGAGGAGTGAAAGGTGTTGCCATGGACACCTTTGGATGGATAAATAGGCTGATGTTGCTAACATACTTAATGTGGGATACTGAATACAGTAATGCATTTGGTGACTTGAAAGGGACTCATTTTGGGGAATGAAAGTCGAAAGATTTGATGTGATATTATTGAGTCCCAGCAGTGGCTTTGGAGTCAAGACTCATAGAAGAAAGGGGAAAAAGGAGGCAGAACCTTAGAAGTGATCAATGACAGCTTCCTTGAGGAGAGAGAGGTATTAGAAATATGCATGGAACAACCAGTCTCTTTAAAACTGAAAATTCTGAGCTGGTACCTCACTCTGGGAAGGACCCAAAAACTCCTACATGGCACAGAACAGTACAGGTTACACACCCCTAACTAATTGCTGAAGAAAAATACCCCTGACTTCCTACATTTTTTGCTTGATCAAAGCAGTAATGCAATGGCCGTTGTATCACTGTGCTTACCTGTTTTCACTAAAAAACTGTAGATGAACAGAATGCTTTGAGCAAAAGGACTACTTCTTATATATGTTTTTTACAATGAAACCCAGAAGTGAGTAAATGGGAAATGTTGCATAGAGACAGAGAGAGGGGAGTGAGGAGAACGTCAGTTTGGGTTCTGGGGTGGCACCGACGTACCATGCGGTATTTTGGTGGGATGAATGTCACATTTTCCACTGCTGCGTAGGCACACAGGAGGCAATAGGGACCCCAGCAAATGACCAGTGTCTTCAGTGGTAAACCAGTATTAAACTGGAAAACAAGATCAATAGGTTTCTTTGTGTTTCACAGTCACACACTACAACAAATGGATGGGAGAGTACTGTGGGACTGTTTGTGTTCAGTAGCAGGAGAGGATCAGCCAACAGGATGTGGGACAGAACAGTGCAGCAGCACCAAAGCCCTGATCCTGGGCGTGGGTGGGGAGTGACAGAGGTGGCAAAACACCTTATGGTAGATCAGATAAATCTGTGTGTGCTAGATATAGAAGCCATGGCCAGAAACTGCTCCTGAGGGGAGAGAGCAGTGTGAGAATTTAAAAGCAGATTGAAAGGAGTGATATTTTGCTGACTTCCTCAATGGTCTTGTAGACAAACTGTGAGGCCACTGCTATGCTGGTACAGATGCAGTAGCTCTGTTACGGTAGGAGAATTTCTTGTCCTTTATGCTAGGGCCTATCCATGGTTTTCATGGCTAGCTGTTCCCAAGTATCTTATAAATATTAATGACTAAGGAAGTAAAAATTTCATCCTCAAATTTTCTGCATTGTAACTTGTCTGCAGAGCTAGAGTATCATAAGAAAGAAATCACATGCTAGTGCATACAAACTCACTGGAAAAAAGTAATAGACATAATAATGAACACTGATATTTGTTCAAGAAATACATAGAGGGCACAAGTATTTATTCCAGTCAGCTACAATCAAGTCTGCCTGTCTCTGTCAATATAACATTAATCTTGAGATCTGACTGTCTTTACTGAGTGCAGGGGTTGGGCCGTGCCCACCAGCCATGCATAGTGCCCCAGACTGCACCTCAGCAAACAACTCATATAATCACCACATTAGATTCCCATAAACCTGCCACACCAGAACAATTCCTTTGTTTCCAGCTCATAAAGATTTTTGAATTTCCTCAGCCAAGTGTTAACACAATGTGTATGGGAAGGCCCTTCTCCCCCATGGGGTGCCTGCGTGCTTCCTTGCAGAGCTGTAGTTGTCTGACTTCCTCAGCCATAAGCCAAAGGCCTGTAGCAAATCCTTCCTGAGATAAAATTCCCTGGATAAACATTGATATGATATTGGCAAATATTCTGTATGCTCTGTTTTTTGAGGAGAGTTGGGCCAGTGTTGATGGATGGAAATCTTCAGGATCACCATTGCAACTTCCTCTTTGATGGGGAACTGTTTACATCACTAGGTTGGGGCAAATGTGGCCATCTGGTAAAATGCTGACATTTCCAAGGATGGTGTTTCCATGAACTTTCTGAATGGCCCCATCCTGTGTTGCACTACCCTCCTACTCAAGTAGCACTGGGGCAGAAGGAGCTGGGTCAAAGTCCTTGTGAAAGAAATTCTTGTTTTTCAAGGACTTTGTCTCTACTGAATGGAACCCTGTTTTGTCATGGTGATTGCAGGGATTCAGGGAGCTTTCTTACCTTAAAGTGCCCAGTTTTCCTGAACTTTTGGTGTATGGACTGATAGGCTGTCAGCATGATGAAGCCTGGGATCATGAAATTGAAAGTGGACAGAGCAAAAAGGAATGTGACATAGTTTCTGGGATAGGTGAGGAGGAAAGAAAAAAAAGAGGTGTTAAGTCAACTCTAGTGCAACTATGTAAACTTGCTGTAAATATTTACCAAATTGTAGTTTTAAAATTGCAAAAACCACTTTTGTCAATGTGCTTCAGTGAAGGCCAGTTAAGCTGTGCCATGCTATTGTGTGTGTGGGATGGATAGTCTTGTAGAAAATCACAACAGATATTTGTATTCTGAACCCAAACACCACTACTCAGACATCTGTGCTGGCCTGCATAAAGCCAAAAACATTCTGAAATAGTTTCAAGCCCTAAACCCAGGAAAAATGCAGCCTATAGATGAGTGAGGGAGTGGCAGAAAGTGGAGCACCAGCCTCTCCCACAGAGGAAGCTGACTTTAGCTGTTCCGTGTGCCACCATGCGAATCCAGGCAGCCTGGGGTGGTGCCTGCCTTGTCCCAGCTGCTGGGGAGGGACATCTGCCCCAGGAACTGTGCTGGGCACAGCTGAGGGGGTTTGTGTGCCACCAAGGCTGTCCCAGGGGATGGCAGCCTCCACTCTGCTCCTGTGGGAGCTGCCCTGGCCCTCACCTGTCCCCTTTGCTGTAGTCCAGGGTGCAGCAGGTTCGGAGCGGCTCATAGTCGTATTTCCCCCACCCCAGTAAGGGCATCACGGACCAGAAGGCAGCAAACAGCCATGCAAACACCATCATGGAGACAGCTGTGCTCCACTGCAGCCTGCTCCCTGTGGGAAGAGGAAAGGGGGTCTCCGTGCCCTGAACAAAACCACTGGAAACAGCTGTCAGGCCCTTGGGCCTCAGGCAGAAACAAGCAGTTGTTCTTGCTTTGTATCCTGAAGCTGATCTGAGTCTGGAGGAATCAGTCTTCCATAAAATATGAAGGAAGCTTTAAGGAAACAGCAAGCTGCTCAGCTTTGTACCACACTGGAGATACAGCTGCTGTTACAAACATTATACTCTTGTGTTTTGGGAATGTGTTTTAAGACACAGACAAGGCAGCGAGTAGAATGAACAGTGTGATGCAATAAACAGTGTTTGAAGAAACATTAGTCCCATTGCAGAGTGTGGGTCAGGTCAGAAATGTGACTCTGCACACACTCCCCAGCCCCTGCCTTCTTCCTTCCTGCCAGGCCAGGAGTGCACAGCATGTATGTATATCTCATATACTCTCTTCTAAAATTACTGGTCATCAATATATATGTGAATATATATATACAACCTGAGAACAGAGCTTGTTCTAAAAATACTACTGGACAAGTAATTTTGCCCTTAAGATCATCACTTAGCCTATAACAGGAAATGTGAAGCTCAGTATTAGTAATTTTTTTCTAATTTTATAATAAAATGTTCCCTTGTGCCTATCCCATCTGGTTCCATCAAATACTTTAGGAATGTAATGGAAGACTGGAAACTTGAGAAGACACAGGAAGTATTTATTCATGGAGAAGGCAGGCAGGGAGGCTTCCTTGCTGCTGCAGGATATTGTGCTAGCCTCACTGCTTGCATGTGAAAAGGTCTGGATAATTTTGTTATTGAGGCCAGTGTCTGTCATCATGCCCATGCTGAGCAGCCCATGACGCCAGCAAGGAGAACAGTGACTTTCCAGCACTCCTTTCTAATCCAATCTCCCATTAGGGACAAGTAATGATGTCATTTTCACTGAGGTTGGGAAGCAGTCTTTTTGTCTGCCCTTAGACACAGCATCGTGACAGCAGGCAAGAAGATTCAGGCCAGTTCCGATCTGTCCCTGGGAGGTGAAGGACTGGGGATGAGGTGCATTTATTTTTAGACCTGGTGAAACCAGCTGCTGGTTGACCCTTCAGAAAATATTCACACACACATCGGAAGTAGCTAAAAAATGTATGAATGTAAATTAAACAAGCTTGAGATTATTTTAGTTTTACTTGGAAAAAACACTTTCAATACAAGAACAGTGAAAGAATCGTGCTGTGCTCACATGGCAAAAATGCCCTCCCCTGAGAAGGCTGAAAGCAAGAGGACAAGTTGAGCAGCAGTTCAGTTGTTTTTGTGCACAGCAGACCATTGCTTTACCTTAAATGACTTTTCTTGGCCTGATAAAATTTGATGTAATAGCTGTATAGGTCCTAATTCAATTAAATGCACATATATGAGGTTCAGCGTCTGCTTACAGATATAATTCTTAATTAGGACCCAGTGCTGGCAGTTTGGTCCCATTAAATCCAATCACTCTTGGCTCTGGTTTTCTCTCTTTGAAAAGCAAAAGGGAGGCCCTGCTTTTCCACACAGTGAAATAGAAATACAGGGAATTTAAAATGATTTCTCTAATTGCTTTGGAACAGGAATACTGCTCCCTCATCATTCAAAGATTACTAAAATTGTGATGTTGAAAGATGAACTTCTAGAAAGTTCTAGATAGAGCATGGAACCTTAATCCTTTTGATCATGAAAGCCAGTTTTTAGTGATATAATCATAATTATATTTTGGGGTTTAGTTTCTGGTAGCATTTATGAATGTATTTTTGTGAGATTTATGATTTATTCAAACATTTAGCTGATTTTCACAGACTGAAAAATACGTCTGTGACACTAGGCTACTTTTCAGCTAGATTTCAGTCTGCTGTTTAAAATGAGTGTCTGAAATAAAAGGTCAACAGGATTTTCGATGAGGGAGGGGAGAAATAGTCCCTTTTTCTCATTCTTGCAAATGGTTAAGTTATAATAGCTGTATAATTTTAAATTACAATATATACCAGGACAGTGTATGGCTTGTACCAAACTTACTGGCATGCATCAGTTAAAATTAGCTAAGTTTGTCAAAGGCAGAAATGTCTGAAAATCTGATAAGGAAAAATATATATCAATCATAAATAAAATAGGTGTTAGCACCTACTTCATCTGCAGTGCAAAAAGCACCAGTCACTGGTGGTCACAAGTACTCAATTTTTGTAGGAATAAGAAAGCTGTAATGTGTAATAGCTTATTTTGTGCATATCATTATAAAAAGCTCTTTAAAATAACCTATTTATGGGATTTTTTTACTCAATTTTAAAATTATTTTGCCGTGGTTCACCATAATCTTGATGACTGTCTTGCTTCAGTGAAAAACATGAGATCTGTAAAAACATCATCATTGTGTCAGGGAAAGCTGATCCAGGTGCAAAGCTAGATGAAGGGAATACAGTCAGTGTGACAGGAGTTTAGGACTTACTCCTAATTTGACAGAGCTGACAGCTGCCATTTTAGCAAATGGTAGTTTGGTAATCTTTGAATACTGATATAACAACCCAGGCTACCTCCGTTGTTAAGGATTACATAAAAGTCACTGTAATGCTGCTTTTAGAAATTGAATGCTGCTGTGAAATCCCTGCTGGTTTTGTCTTCTTTTTTATGATATTGGAAGGAACAATGATATAAATCATGTCAGATTTTCTGTTTCCCCCTAAATGCAAGTTAAAAATCTGTATTTTTTTCTTTCCTTTTAAATCTATAACTTTATGCTGTGCTTATGAATCCTTCCTCTCCTCCCAAACTTGTCCTCATATAGAAGTTGATCCAAACTTCTAATGGCAATGTGAATGGCCAGAGAGGAGCTGCCTTGATCTAAACTGTCACCTTCTGTCCTGAATACCTGGCTGCTGAGGGACAGCTTCCTCAGAATCTGCCCTTTTCTTCTTCACTGTCAGGAACTAACATATAACTACTTCTGTTTTCTCCTTTTCCTCCTAATGATCAAATTTTAATTTTTTTTTGCCATCTTAACAGGGATTGACACTGATACCCTTCAGACTCCCCTGCTATCTCTCCTCTTATTGCATACTTTTAGGTTATTTCTCTTTTTTTAGGTTAATTCTCTCCTCTGTGCTGTGAAAGTAGCATCTCAGAGACCCCAGAGCCACACTTAGGGGATGAACAGAGAGTTGCCCAGTGTGCTTGCCTAGAAGTAAAAAAAAAATACCAAAAAACAAGAGAGGGGAGAGTAAAATATCCTGACCTTCTCTGCCACATGGGGCAATAATATTATTTTCTTCCATATGCCAAGCAACATCAACCTGATTTCTGGTGAGTGACTTGTCTAGTTATCAATACACTTTAAAGGTAGTGCTTTGTCACTCAGGGTTGTGCTGACTTCCAAATCTAAAAACCTGGTCAATTTTCAGAATGTTGGTGAACAAATTTGTCATATTAGGATCCAGAATGGTTGTAAAGTCCCAAGTTATCCTATCATCATAGTAATTTCTTACATTCTCATCAGCTCTTTCGTCCCAGAAATACAGATAGTGAATAATCAAGTGCCAAGCTGAGGAATGCCACAATGAAGGTTTTCTTGGGAAACTGTTAGGGCATAACAAAAAACTGGGGATGATGTAATTGAGCCTCAAAGGAGTACCAGGTCCTGGGGAATGAAGATAAAAGGCTGATAGATTTGTATTTTAGGTAAAGGTATTTTGTACCTTCTGTACAGGCATGCAACTCGCACTGGTGTCAACAGGAGTTTAATGTATGGATTGAGAACACAGCCTGTGGGCTTGGTGTAGCACATCTATGAAATGTGACTTAATCTTTGCAATCAGCATGTGAAGAATTGAACTAGAAGGGGCTGGTTTTACTGGAATAACCAGAGGGCATGAGCACCTTCTGGGTTTTTAGTTTTGTTTTGTTGTTCAAAATGTTCACTTTAGGAGCCATGTTTGGCCACCAGTAAGTAACAATTTGAGCAGAGTAAAGAAGCTTGTGCCCTGAAGGTCCTTCTGTCCTCTTAATGTAGTGTATGTTCTTGGTGGGAGCGCATGACACAAAAGCATTAATGTGGCAGAGAGTAAAATGTCTTTCCCAGACATGCTTATTTTCAGGCTCTCTCTTGTAAAATACAGATGCTTCTCTCTAGCTCCAAATGCATTTCAGTGTCCAAGGGGTGTTAGTATGGATTTAGCTCACAGCCTGCATTATTTGGGGCCTTTATCTAGACATGAAAAAGGATTTCTTTGCCTGAGCTGGATTCCTGCAGAAATTGCAGAACAACAAAGTTGGCTGCCTTTCCTCAACAGGATCATCAGACTGACCATATTCCCTGTGTCCTTTGGGTGTGTTTTGCCATTTGCTGGTGGAATCATGTGGAGGCTGTGCCTGAAAGGCTCTGTGGGTAAAAAAAGCCTCTTGCACTCCAAAATACCTGTGTTGCACAAAGGGCCTGATGAGCTGTGTCTGCCCAGTCGTGCCTCTGCATGGGCTCTGTTCCAGCCACCGCCTCTGCAGAGGCAGCTCTCTGCTTACCCCAAATTTATCTGTCAGTAGTAAACTCTGCATGGACATGATGATCTGTTTGGTACACAGCAGGGTGTTGGATGAAAGCCCAAGATGAATAGATTTTTCTTCAATATGAAGAATTGGATTTTATTTGGGATTTGATTTAAAGTTTACTTATGGATTAAAAGAAAGCATGGCAAGAGGGTCACAAATTGGTTGTGATCTTGACAAGGAAATATCTCCTGAAAGTGGTTGATAATTTCCCCTGTATGGGAAGAGGTCCTTTAGAGAAACTGTTTATATTTGCTCTAACAAGTGTGTAAGAAAAACAAACTTATATATAAGATACACAAATAATAAGTATGTGCTTGCTTTGAGTCCCAGAAACATAAGCCAGCTGCCTTTTGCAGCTTGTGGGTAAGGTTGTGAAGTAAATTGTAACCCTTACTTGTACAGTAGTGATGGTATCTGTCCCAGGCAATGGCAGCGCTGGAGCCAATGCTGGCCAGGGCTGTCAGGAAGCCTTGGAATCCATGGATTTGACAGCCATCAGAGCCATAGGGCCAGTATCTGTTATCAAACAAGGAATGTGTTATGAAAATGATAGAGAAAGGTGAAGACATGTTTGGAAATGCATTAACAGAGAGGGTAAAATGATAGCCTATGCTCGTTCTGAGAATCTGTCTGAGAAACACTGTGAAAAATGTTACTTTGCTTGTTTTTAGGTATTTGCCAGCATTTTCTTGTTGTGGTGTCTCTTATGGTACAACAGCTATTTGTACTCTTAATACTGAGAAGAAGATATAACCCTGCATCTGTGTATTAAAAAGCTGGGGTTTTAAGATTTGAAATTGACATTTCATCCAGATCTTCAAGACTTTGCCTCCTTTGTGAGGAGCCAATTTGTCAATGTGTGCTAGTCAGTGCAACACAACAAACAGATAAAGACTTGCAGACAAATTTAGGGTCAATCTAGAGGTTCAGTGAAGTGATATTTTGATATTCAAGTAGCTTCTATAACCACTGGCAAATCTGTCTGGCTAAATGTCTTCTCTGGTCAATCTTATAATCTGGCAGTGATGTTATGCAGTAAAATCTGCTTTTCTACTTGCCTGGCAGAACCATGTAGGGTTTTGTTTTGTTGTTTCAGATTGAGGGCATGAGAATTTTGGCTATGATTTATGGTAGAAAGAGAGCCATTTAATTAGAACTTAAGCAGTTAATTTTCATGTGGCTCTTCTGAGCATGCTCTGGGAAAACCTTTGTGCCATACCTGAGGAAGCTGGAAAAGGCAGCGATGAAGGCGTTGATGCAAATCCCGCAGTCGGCCAGGGCGATGCTGAGAACCAGCAGATTGCTGGGTGTTCGGAGCTCTTTGATTTTTCGGAAAGAAATAATTGTCAAGCCATTCAGACAGAAACCAAGCAGGGCTGAAAGATAGAATTGTTTGGTGTGATTCAACTGGAAATTGAAAATAACTACAATGATAGTGCTGTTTTCTTTGATGAGAGAACAATAATTACAGTGGAATCTTATGCACAGGGAATAGATCTGTAGTGGTCAGTCTGCATGCAAGTTACAAAGGCTTTCAGAAGAGAAGTCCTAGATGACAGTTCAAGCCAGACTGCTTCAGACTTCTTCAGTCATGTGGAGCAGAAGCAGTTTGATCTTATTTGTAATTCTGCCTTTTGTTATAATAAGAGAAACGGGATATTCAGGCTCCATGCAGGGACACATGGTTCAGGGTTCAGAGCAAGTGAGATGCAGAGGAGTGTGAGTGAGTTTCAAGAGAGCTGACAGCCAGCACATGCTGCTGGTGTACACATGTCCAGGCATGACTTTGATAGAAAAATGGCTTGTATTTAATATCCATCATAACATTCCTTTTTGCTTAAGCCCAGAAATCCCTCAGCCATGTTTCAGTCAACCTGCTTCCCTTTGGGCTTCTCAGGGTAGCCTACACAGTACTTGGGTTACACCAGCTCAATCTTATTACTGTCCCTCGTCAACAGACTATACAAGGAAAGGAAGAATCTAATTATGAAAAGCAGTCACTGAGAGACTTAAAAAAATAGGTTTATGTTGTTCCTCAGAGAGGGATCCAAGCAACCTGAGCTATTCACCCAGCACAGGGCTGTGCCACTCTGAATCCCATCCTTCACTGGTTTAAACTCAAGCTTTGTCCTTTAATGCCCTTTTCAAGGCGACCTGAATTATTTTAGCTCTGATGAGGATCTGACTCAACATCCAGACTCTAAGTCTCAGTTAGATGAGAGGCACTATGCCTTTGTGCTCTTCTTGGAAAAAGAAATGCTGTAGCACAGAAAAAATCCGTATCTCCTAATTCTATAAAGTAGTGTAGTTATGCTTATTGTCTTAATTTTGCAGTTACATAAGATGGATGATTTTTTTCTAGTCAGAAATCCTGCTTCTACCTTTATTGCATTAATGCCTGATGGCATAACCATAGTAACAGCTGATGTGTGTCTATCATTGCACAACATATAACAAAGTATTTCCAGGAGAACTATTTGGAGCCATTTGAGATCTGCTGTTGTTAGTTCCTCCCTGCCAGATTACCTCCCACCCACAGGGTAAAACTGATGTCAACTCTCTCAAATGCAGAGAAGCCTTCAGGAGAGATGTGTTCTGAGCATATTTAGAGTACAGCTGAAGAGTTATTACTATATCAGATTTTTTTTCTATCTTTTTCCTCTTTTTGGAAGCCTCAGGCTTTACCAGATTCTGCTTTCCTGAAGGTCAGCATGAGTGTAAAAATAGAGAACTTACTAAATGTTTTTAAAAAGTGTTTAATTTTCATTTCTAGATCAGCAAATATGTTCACTTAATAAAGTGAATGCAAGTCTTAACCACAACGTTTTTCTGCAAACTGCACTTAGAAGCTGCCACAAGAAAAGGAGAGGTCTTCATTGCCTTTGTCTCAGAGTGTTTCAGAAAGTGAATTAATATTTGATTTTTTAGCTTGGTCTTCTAACCCAGATGACAATAATAAAGTTTTAATGCCAATCTACTGGGCACATTCTGCCTAAAACTCTATGGAATATACTTATGTTTAGTAAATCATAAATGTATTGGACTACACCTAGTTTTAAGTGAAGGTTACCATGGGGCTTTTTGCTGGAACTTCCACAGCTGCAGGACCCTGGCAGGCTGCAGCCCCCAGCACAGGTCAGGACTAGCAAAGCCAGGGTCTCACAAGCATGTCCCCAGCAGGACCTGGCTCTCGGGCTCTGCCAGCCCCCAGTGCTGTCCCTGTCCTCCTCTGCTTCCACCCTCGGGATCGGAGTGCAGTCCTGCCAGGCTGTGCACATGGCTCAGGACTGTCTGCCAGGCTTAGTTCTGTTTAGGCAGCAGCCTGCCCCTGGGCAAGAAGTAGAAGCTTTTTCCCTTCTCTTCCAAAGAAGAGTGTCTGACAGCATTTCCAGCTTTCCTGTGCAGCCAGACACGAGCTCAGGTGCAAAGCAAAGGTGAGCAGCCATGCTCCACGTTCATGGGGTGAGCTAATGAGCATTTATCCCACTCTGAGGGCTTCTCCTCCTCTGCTCTTGGGCCCCACAATTCCAACATCCCCGTCTGATCGGCACTATGCAGGAATGGGATCCCAGGCCCTGGGACTGACACCAACATTATCCTAGCTATGAGCCTTTGCTGGCTGCCAGGTAATATAAACTCACAGTTGTGTTGCAGTCTCTCAATAAGTGGAATATGCCTTAAGAAAAGATCACATTGGCTAAATTAAATTGATATGGTTTGTTACTTTTACCCAGCAGCCATTAATTGCAGTGCTACCAATACAGTCTGGATGTATGCTAACAGTTTGCAGGTTTTTTTGGAGCTATCATGTTTGATTGTAAGACAGCCATCACAACCCACAAAACAAACAGTCCCATTTTATTGAGAGATTATCAGTCATTTCAACTTCTTTCCCCAGAGGAAGATAAAACTGCCTTTAAAAGTCAACAACAAAACATTACATCCCAGGTTCCTGAGAAGAGAGCTGAGTAGCAAGTACTTCACTGCCACAGCTACGCATAGAGTGCAGATCTTCACAGCAAAAAGCTTGCAGCTCACCCTGATTTACTCACCAGAAGTAATGAGTGCTCGGTGATGTAGCCACAGTAGCCAGGGTCTGCACACCACAAATGCTGCCGTTCACTCCAATTTTCCTTCCCCCCTCTTACCAGAAATAATAGGAAGAAAAAAATCTTATTGCTGCCGAGGTCCCACACCAAACTTACCTTCAACCAGCAGGGCAGTGCCAATGGCAAACACTTCTATTTCAGTGAAGCCTTCAGGGAGAGGGTGTGCAGTGACCATTCTTATGGTAAATATGCCAAAAGATTTAACCTCTGCCCTCTGTTATAGCTCTGGGGCTGTCTTTTCTCTGGATCTCTCTACTTCCAGTAGCCCAAGGCTTCTTAAAGGAGCAGCTCACGTGCAAACACATGCTGTTATTATATAAAAGCTTTGGGGTTTTTACTCCCACCACTGCAATCCCTGCAGGAATGTTATTAGTGATGGGACTAGCATCAACCCGCACTCCCCCTTCCCCTGCAAATCGTATTTCAGACACCAGCAAAATGAAAGCATTCATGGCAATTACAACAAGTTCTTTGTAGACACAAGATTAAGAAACCTGTCCAGTTAATTTTGCAACACTGGAAAAGAATTAAATGTTGTGGAACAAAGGAAACATGTAATTGGGGAGTGACCTGAAAAACAAAGGGGCACTCATTGAGTTGATAATTAGAGGAAAAGTATGAACCAATAATTTCTGCAGCTTGTGGATTTCCCTTCACCCATTTTTTTAGAAACTGGCCAGTGTATTTTTCTGGTAATGACTGTTCTCTATATTAACATATTTCTTTTTTGTAACTGGCCTTAAATTAATATGCACACTGGCACAGCTTGATTAAAGACAAACACAAAGTACTGATTTGGGGCCCTAAACATACAAGGATGTGAGTGAGTTGCTCAGTGGTGAGCACTCACAGGAATCACCTTACTGTCCTTTTGGAGATGTTTGTGGACTGCAGTCTGGGTGTACAGTGGCTCTGGAGTAGGTGCAGCCTGCAGCTTGTCCAACCTCCAGATCATTGCTTTAACAAGGTGCCACTAGCATGATAGTTGTTTCTTTGATACATAACTTTCTTCATTTGATAATCCTACTGCAAACTGGGAGCAGAAAGGGATATGAGCACAGGGGATATGAGCTTCCCCAGCTCAAGCCCCATGCTGTGCTGACCTGGCTCCCTGTTGATTGAGGTGTCAGAGTAAATTTGCTCCAGATGCCACCAGAGCTTGTTCAGTTCTCCTGACTACATGGTGAAGCTTACATTTCAGGGACGTATTTACAGTCAGGGGTGTTGGTTGAAGATCGTGGATTTTTTGCAGTTTTCCCAAAATCTGTGCTTAAAGGCTGTGATGCCCAGGAGAACTGATTAGAGCTTCAAGGCTGTGGTGAAATCATCTTGCTGAGTTTTTTTGATACCTGGTATTCAGTTTACAGCTCTTTTTGATGTAGGTAATTGCCTTGATGGATATGCTCTTCGATTTTGAAGTAGAATTCAGGAGGGTATGATATTTGTTAGGCTGAAGATATTTGGTTTAAGCAGAGTAAAATTACATTGCACCTCATAAATCCATTGTTATGTTTGCCTTTCACTCACCTACATGTCTTGATGACAAAGAAGGTGACAGTCCTGCCTTCTAGCATGGCAAATTAATGATATAAACCTGTGTTTTAATAGTGATCCATTGTGTGTTCCTGCAAAAAAAAAAATTAGTGCTAGATCTTGTAAATATGATGTAAATCTTCCTAGTGTGATAGTTCTGAAAATGGATGGCTCATTGTAATGCTTGTCAACATAAAGCTGCACAACTCCTCTAGACTGGGGATAAAGGACACAGATATTTGAACTGCCCTCCTGAGGCCTGTCTGGTAAATTTGGTTGCCTGCCATTGTACTTCACCTTCACTCCCAGATGTGTTACACTGCTGGTAGTTTTTGTGGATTGAATTAAAGTCTGTGCGGCAAACTTTGCTCATTCCAGTACTATTTCTTCCATGAAAGTAGGCTACTACCCCAGTCCCCTTGGAATTAACAGACCTTTATTAGAATGATTATTATTAACTTGTTGACTGCTTTTCTTAAAGTATCTTAACAATTTCCATGTCTAAGTCTCATTTAATTTATCAGTGCAGAGTCTAATTGCAAGTCAGTCATAGGCAAACTTTCTAGTGGCAGTTCAGCATCTGACTCAAGTGAAATTCATGTTGACAGAAACTTCTTTCATCAGTCTCTTAAGTCCTTTGCTGATGCTGTGTTAAGCTGACTTCCTAAGGGGGTGTTGAGATAGTATGGAATGATATATGGTCCAATGTGGCTTCTAACTTCAGTTACAAGTTCAGGTTGTAAATGGTTTTCTTCAAGCAAAGAGGAGGTGCAAATAAGGAATAAATTACTGACTTTGATAGAATCTTATAAAGATCTTTTTCCAGTTCATAAAACAAAGCTGCATTTATTTCCTTTCTGTCCTTTTTATGTAAGATGCAACCTGACATTGTGTATTCCTGTGAAGTCAGGGAAAACGTCCAGATAATAACAGGTTTGCCAAAGACACTCATTAACTCCTTAGTGATGAAGTTTTTAGTGATGCCTTTCTATTTTATGCACTCTTTCAATAACTACTTGCTCTTTCCAAATTGAGGGGGAAAGGTCTTTTGCTCAACCTGATGTCATCCTAGAACTACATAATTTGAATTCCACTGTTCTCTTTTCTGCATCAATAACAGATCCATTTCCTTTTATCCTCTCACTTAAGAATAATTCACTGGTTACTAATCAGTTTGCAAGGAATGCACAGAAAAAGTGTATGATAGGTTCTTGCCAGATGTTCCTATGGATTTCATAGAACTGTATAGATTTGGTGGGAGCGCATTAATCTTTGTAAAATATGCATTGGTACAAGCACAACAAAAAAAGGTGCAGTGCAAAGATAACAGAGTGCTCATGCACTCTGAATTTTCTTCAAGCAATCAATGCAGATTACTGACACAGTGTTTTATATTCACAGCAAGAACTTTGCTAAATTGATGTGTTATTATTCCTCTGCCTTCCTAATCCTTTCTTCTAATTCAGGTTTAGCCAAATTTGACTTTTTATGTTGAAATACACCTTTAAATGAAACACGGCAGCATTTCCCAGGAGAAGCAGGCTGCAAATGCAGTCACCCAGAACTGCAGTTTGGTATCACTGAAATGAGTGGTAATCTTGGTCCTCATGGGAAAGGCTTCTTGCCAAAGAAAGGAAACAGAAAGAGTATTGTCTGGAGACCTTCTAGTTGCAGTTGTGTAAATGTGTTTCAGCTTGGTAGGGGTGATAGGGAACATGACCCAGATTGTAAATAAGCACCTGGTGTTGGCCATAGGAGGGATGATGCAGGGAAAAAGTCATCACAGCAGTGTGTGGACAGGCATCAGCCCTTTGGAAATGCCTGCAGCCACATAATAACCCTTCTCCTCAACAGTCTGCATAACACAGTATGGCACCCTGCTCAATCTGATTTTCTCTGCAGCCATCTCAGAGCTGTTGGAGGAAGATGTAGTGGTGAAGGCCTGGGGAGAGCCCAGGAAGCTTGGGGCAGGCAGGAGCCAGGGACTGTGCTTTGGGGAGCAAGCGTGGCAGCCCCAGGTGTGGTGGGGATGGTGTGAGGGGCCCAGGGCAGGATGGGGTCCAGGGGTGGAGGTGCTGTCTGTGCAGAGGAAGGTAGAGGAAAGGGCTCACTTGCAAGTACAAAGAAAGCATCAAGATCAGGGATAATTCTGGGGAAAGCTCCTTGGCCATGCTGAGCAAAAATGAAGGAGCTGTAAACTTAGTGGGAAGTAAGAAAGCCAGGAGGGACAACTTCAGTGTCAGAGGCAGAGCATTGCTATGTCAAAGTCTCTTCAAAAAAGGACACAGATCTATCACCTGCTCCCCAAATATCACACTTTAGTCCTGTAATTGGCTCTATGAGGATGCAATGCCTGAGACTGGCTTCCCTGCCTGCTGCTGCACTTCAGTCTTTTGAGAGTCAGAACATCCTGTAGAGCTGGGAAGCATTGCCACTACTGTTTGAGTTACCTCTCCAGAGACAGGTAGCTTAATTCACCATAAATTGAATATGTAATTCATAAATATATGTATATCCACCCAGGGTAGAAAATTAATAGTTACCAGAACATTTATTGCATCCTAGACTTCTTAGTCTTTGCTGGATGTACCAAACATGATCATTATCAAATATGCATAGCTGTTGCCCTGGTCTGTTACCCATCCCTCAAAATGCATTCTAGACACCTATAAATGTGTTTTTCTTTCAGTTAGCCTACTAGTTTTAGAGGCATATACATATTCACAGTATAATGTGATATGCTGTCTCTCTGTGCTGAATAGTGACTTTGAAGGAGAAGGCAGTCCTACAGAATGCAGGATGTACCTAACACTGGTAGTGCATTTCCCCCTTGGCATTGAGACCTTCCCACTGCAGAAGAATAACTCCTCCAGGGATTACAGTTCAAAGACCAGTACCCAGTTATCAAAAAACCCTCTGCTTTCAAGAGGGGCTTTAGTTGTATTAAGAGAGGATTTGCACACCAGTTCTCCTGTTTATTATTTCTCTTGTAAAAAAGCAACATGATTCTCCCTGAACCATTTCTCATGAGTCTATGCTACTGACCATGTATGTAGATGAACTTCTATACCACATATGACATAGTCACATCTTTTTTCCTGTCAATGTATTATTGTATATTTTGTTTGTCTCAGCAGTTTTCTATCAGTGTCTGTGTCAGAATTTCCCCAAATTTCCTAATGATATTTCCCTCACAAACATTACTTCAGCCTGAATTCTGCATTAGTTCAGCCTCAACTTCAGTGTAAGATCTGTGTTTGCTTTTAGAGGGATTAATCACATCTAAATTTTTTCTCATATAAAACCCAAATGTGTTAATTATCTAGTCTAAGCTAGGCTTTTGTTTACTGTTACTGGATGCAATGAGCAGAGAAGAATAACATAAAAAAATAAAAACAGGGGAAAAGCTTTTCTTGTTCTTTGTACTTTTTTTTGGTTGTTTTGTTTTCCCAAACATTTTCTTGGTCCTTGTAAGACTTGCAGCTTCCAAGAAGTATACAAGAACTGCCACAAAGGTATGTACTCAGCCTGCAAAATCTTGGAGCTGTATTCAGGTAAATCAGAGTAGGAAAGCTGGTGACTGTCAGACTGGCAAGAGGGCAGAGGGTTGCTGTGTAAAACACTCTGCTCCATCTGCATTCAGGAGCCAGATAAAAAATGCTGGATGTTCTTGCATGCCTGAAGAAGCAAAATAAAACAGCCACTGTTTCCTAAGCAGAGGTGACTCTGCTGGGCTTA